GGTAGACAGGTGCTCTACACTTCCGGGGCCCCTACACATCTGAAACTAGGTCGTTTGTGCTGTTATTCAGCAGTAGGAATTCTTGGTATATTCTAGATATTAACTCCCGTCCCGTTCAGCAGAGCTCCTCGTCACATCTGTTGGTCAGACCCTTTGGTGTGAATAAGTTAGCTTGGTGAATTCCTATTGGCCTTTTCCACGTTTGCTGTCCATGCTCTTTATAGAAAACTATTTTTGCTTTATAAAATAAATGATCAGATCAAGTTCTACAAAACTTCCCCCAGTGTGTTTTATTTTGTCTTGTTTACATTCCGGATCAGCCTGGTCTGGACTTACTATGAAGACCAAGTGGGCTTTGAATTTGCAGTAATCTGTCTCTGTCCCTGGAGTGCTGGGATTACAGGCATAAACCACTGTGCTGGGACTAAAGGCGTGTTTCACCACTCCAGGCCATTATCTGGTTTTGATACACATATGTGTGCATGTGTTCCTTGTTTATTTGATATTTTATTCACGTGTGTAAGTTGTATATCGGCCTGGACCTCACAGGTTGTGCTGGACAGGTGGTGGCAGTTGTATCCGCCTCAACATTTGCTCTGAAGAGGGAACAAACTCATTCTTTCTAAAACGGAGTCAGTAAGGGCAAAGCACAGTCTGGAAGCTACCGCTCTGTCTGCGGCATGAGAACGAGCAGAGTACAGCAATCTCCAAGCTGCGCCTCTCTTCCTGATCCAGATGGCTCTGGAGTCTCCTGTCTGACCTCCCTGGCTGGAATCTAAAGCATAATGTAACAGAAACCACGAGCAGAAGCTCTTGTCTTGTTCTGTCTCTATAGGATAAAGCATTGAGTATTTTGCCATTAAACACGGAGTCTTCTGTTTGTTTTTCATGCTCTTTATTAGGGTGAGGACATACCCTTTGCCCTTACGTTCCTAGTTTGTTGAGTGTTCTTGTGGGGGTACATGTGTATGGAGTCTGGAGGCTGCCCATGTCTTCTTTTCTCAACCCCTCCCCCTACAGGGTCTCATTGACTAGGCTAGGCTGACTGACCAGAAAGCTCCAGGGACCTGCCTGTCTCTGCCTCCCAGCAGGTACCTCTGTGGCCAACTTTTCTCTTCCTCTACTTAGCAATTATGTTTATTTCAGCTTTTATAATCCCGATGGTACTCTCTCTTGTGGATCTTTTTATACTTTACGTGATGCCTGATGTGGTTAGCGATGAAGGTTGAGAGGAAGATCACGTGTAGCCTATAAACAACAGGGATTTTCTTTCCTGGGGCGGCAGCTATGGAGTTATTAGGTGGCTGCCCATTGAAAAGAAACTCATCCTCTTTTCCTTGATCCACCCCCACCCCCAGGACACAAACTGGAGCAGGTGCTGATGCGGATTTGCATTTTCCAGGGTGACCAAAATAGACTCCTCTGCTGGGAAATGGGGGTCTGTGAGTTGTGGAAGCCTCTGTTACATGAGGCAGCATTCCGTAATGAGTTTCCAGGGATCTTCAGCCGCACTCATATAAAAGCCAGCGGCAGCCAGCTATCACCTCTTTTCATGTTGCAGCCAGGGGCTGATGCTCTGAGGCAGCTTGCTGATAGCCAGCCCTCCCCGAAAGCTTGTTCTGTGCGAGCTAAACCAGTGGCCCGTAAGACATTTCCACTGCCTGCCTGTAGGGGTAGGGAGGCAGCAAGTCTCCTGCATTTCAGCTCAATGGTCATGTTCTTTCTGGAGCCTTCCAAAGCACATGTTGCTGGACATCTGTTTCGATGCCATTCTTCTCCTGTCCAATTGCTACTTGTTTGTTTGTTTGTTTGTTTGTTTTCTGTACTAAACGTCAGTGGACCTCTGAGGGGCAGCTCCCCGTGTCCAGCTTTTTACACGGGTTCTGGGGATCTGAACTCATGCTCACAGCAGTCATATAACCCCGGAGCCATCTCCTCCAGCTCCTATCCTCAGACTCTCAACTTTCTCCCCGTTGTAATGGAATTGCTTTTTTACAAGGAAAGTGGGCCCTTATGCCCACTGCCAGATCAACAATGCTGGCTGCCTCATGCATCGGAGCTATGAGCACATCCTACACAGACTCAGTTTGAGGAAGGACTCTGAGATCCCTTCAGTCTAAGCTTTCATGCCGTAGTCTCGGGACCCTCAGCTGGGCGAGGGATGTTGTATGTGCCTCACTAGATTGCCTTACACTAGCACAGCTCCCCTAAACCCAGCCCCGGCGCATCCCTGGTGACCCTTCTTGTGCTCACAAGTCTCTGCTCAGTCTTGGCTTTTCAGCCACCAGCCACACCTTTACCTAGCACCTCTGCTCACATCCTCCCTTTGACCTCTCCCTCTCCCCTTCGTCTGAAGAACAGAACTGTCACCCCTTTTCGCCTAGATAAAACCTCTCCACCTACTCACTTGGGAATGTCTCCCTCTTTCTCTCTCCTTCCCTCCCTCCCTCCCTTCTTTTTTCCGAGACAGGGTTTCTCTGTGGCTCTGGAGCCTGTCCTGGAACTCACTCTGTAGACCAGGCTGGCCTCAAATTCACAGAGATCCACCTGCCTCTGCCTCCCGAGTGCTGGGATTAAAGGCGTGCGCCACCACCGCCCAGCTCTTCCTTCCTTTCTTTAAGACAAGAGTTTCATTATGTAGTCCTGGGTGGTCTGAAACTGCCTTTGTGGATGAGGCTAGCTTTGAACCGACACAGACCCACCTGTTCCTGTCTCCTGGAGTTAAAGGCATGGGCCACTATGCCTGTATGCATTTCTTTTGAAAAACACTTCTTGATAATGCATTTATGCAACGGATCTTATTGCAGCCATTCCAGCTCCATTTCCTTTGGACACCCCAACACCAGCTCTTCCTATCTTCTGTCTCCTCCTCCTCCCCTTCTCTCCTTACTAATTTCACTGACACTGCTTGCACACTCATGAGCAACTTCCCGGGGACCACATCTCTAAAGAAAAGTAACTCCCTCTCCCCGGCAGCCAGCCATCAGATGCAGCCGCCTCAGCTGGAGGTGGGGTCTCAGGGGCCTCGCCACCATCCATGCTGGAACTATTGATTGGTTGGTTAGTGCACGGAGTGCAGGTGGGAGCTCGGGAGTGTGACAGCCACACCATGTCCAGAAGACAACGCTTCTGGCACTCTCCTTTCGCTTGCACGCTTTCTGCGTGGACTCCTTTGTATTTCCTGGGCCTTGTGAGGACTGAGATAGACATCCCGAACGCAGCAGTCATTTATTCTTAGCATGTTGGCCAGCTAGGAGTCTCTGCATTGACTGGTTCCCAGTAGCACTGGTCTAGAGGTATAAACAAATATTTAGAAGGCAGTTGGACAGCATGTTCATTTAGTGAAATATTAGTAGGTTCCCCAGTGGCCGATGACCTCCCTGGCTATGGGCTTTTAGCCAGGCTCACAGAGCTAGGCCTGAGTTCTTGCCTATGGAACGGCCCTTGAGCTGAGTCTGTTGTTTAGCCCATAGTAGTCATGCCACTGTTTCTTAGGTCAGATTAGCATCATAGCAGGGTCGACTGCTGGGTACATCCACGGATGATATTTCTCTCCCAGCAGCCTGCAAAGTGCTTTTCGGGCAGTATGAAAGCTAGCCAGCAGAAAGGACATTTCAGATCCAGCTTCATTTCTTTGTGCCCTGCAACCAAAGTGTGCTCTGTCTTTGGCAATAGGGTCTCACCATCTGATGGCTGTGGTGGGGACAACGCTTGGGAATTTCTTATATAAGAAGTTCAGGCACAACCAAAATCTACCCCTTGTGCCTCAGGAAAGAAGTCTTCCCGGGCTGGGGGTGTGGCTCAATTGGAAGAGTGCTTGTTAAACACGCACGAAGCCCTGGGTTTGATCCCAGCACTTTTAAAATATAGGGAATGATGGTTGCAGGTACACACGTGTAACCCTAGCACTGGGGAGGGGGGAGGCAACAAGGTGGGAAATGAAAAATCATTCTAAATTCAAAGGCCTTCTGGGCTGTACAGTGAGTTCAAGGCCATCATGAGCTCTCTCTCTCTCTCTCTCTCTCTCTCTCGTGTGTGTGTGTGTGTGTGTGAGAGAGAGAGAGAGAGAGAGAGAGAGGATTTTCTTTCACTTTGTGAGGTAGCTAATAAGGCATCACCCAGATACACATTCCAGATATAATGCAAACTAGGAAACTAGGGTTTGTCCCCTCTTTTTAAGCCAGCATTTCGCAAAGGGCTCGCTGTGGTTAGACATACCTACCGTCCTAATAACTGGTTGCATTCACCAGGAAGTCCTCTATCTGATATTCAGTACGTTCGTGGACTGATGAGACTCAGCCTGGCCAGGCTCCATTGTTGTGCCTGGTATGGGGCCCCGCTGATCATATCAGGACACTAGCCTAGGAAATAATAGAGGCAGACCTGCTGGACCCCATAATTTACTATCTAATTAGAGGGACTATAGCAAATTGTATGGGAGGCAACACGGGGTACTTCAGTTACTCCTGTCCTCTTTGAGTGTGGCTAGCTGAAGCCATGCACAGATCTCAAATCTGGACCCCAAGTCAGTAGGCCAATCCCCTTCTTATAGTAGACAATAAGCACTGGTCCTTTTAATACAAACTCCAAAAAGGTACTAGACACCCTTGCCAAACTCTAAATCATACCATCTGCCATCATATCTCACCCAAAGCCTCTTGACTTCTGCGTAGACACGGCTGACCTCATCTGCAGTCCTGGGCTAGCTCTGTAAGATCCCTGGCTTACCCTACTTGATGTCACCTGGCTCACGCACGATCATGGTATTATGGTGGTAGGCCATAGGCTTTTGGTGTGCAGTAGTTTCAGAGAGGCCAGAGTCTAGCCCTCGCTTTCACACTGAAACATGGTACTTGACCACACATGTTTGCCTCTACTGTAAAGAGTTTTACATTGGTACTAGCCAACTCCTGGTTTAGCCCTATTTCCAATAGATTTGTGGGTTAGTTCAAACTCAGAAACTGTGAGATAAAAGATTTTATGTAGAAAATGTATTTTGAGTGTTTGCTTTGGTAGCACACATACTAAAATTGGAAAGATACAGAGATTAGCATGGCCCCTGCGCAAGAATGATACACAAATTCATGAAGTGCTCCCTATTAAAAAACATATGTATAGGCCGGGCATTGGTGGCACACGCCTTTAATCCCAGCATCCCAGCACTCGGGAGGCAGAGGCAGGTGGATCTCTGTGAGTTCGAGGCCAGCTTGGTCTACAGAGCAAGTTCTAGTTCCAGGGCAGGCTCCAAAGCAATACAGAGAAACCCTGTCTCAACACACACACACACACACACACACACACACACACACACACACACACACACACGAGAGTCAGGCATGAAGGCCTATGCCTAGAATTCAAACACTTAGGAGATGGAGGCAGGAGGGTCAAGAGCTCAAGGTTGTCCTTGGCTACAGTTGTGAGTTTCAGGTGAGCATGGGCTGTATAATGGAGGTGCTGTCTAAGAAGATAAAAAATCACCCATTTTTAGGATCCCTCCCTGCTTCAGGGAGCTGTTACTCCTCAGAACCTTGTTTGCTGGCTCTTAAAAAATAATACACACACATGCACGCACATACACACAAACATACATATACATAAATGCAAACACGTGCTCACGTGTGCACACAGACATGCACACACAGGCTGCGTATAAAGCTCAGTGGGTGAGTGTTTGCCTCGCACACTCAAATCAGGCTGCAGCTTGGATCACCAGCATAAAGCAGATAACGGAATCCAGAAATGTATTTCAGAGAACACAGGTGTTGACAGTTAAAACAGCGTCCGGAGGAAGGGAGAGAAGGCGGAGGTTATACTGAGCTAGCAGTGTCGAGTCTTTACGAGGCCGTGAGAATTCCTGGGGCTGGAGGCCAGCTGAGGGGCGAAGAGCACTTGCTGCTCCTGCCCAGGACCCTGTTTTGGCTCTTAGTATCCACATCCGGCTGGCTCACAATCATCTATTACTCTAGCTTCAGAGCACCTGACATCCTCTTCTGACCTCCTTGGGGGTGGGGGTGGGGGGAGACTTTTTCTGGAGTTGAGAACAGGTGCAGCTGTAAATGATAGAAGAAAAAGAAATATATATATATACACACACACATATATATACTTATATATGCACACACACACATATATATGTATATGTATAGTATGTATTTGCAAAATTCCATAAAACAAGTTAATGGCCCTCTGTTTACCCACCTATGTTTGCATGTGTATGAGCATGTTTTGTGTGTGTGTGTGTGTGTGTGTGTGTGTGTGTGTGTGTATCTATCACCTATCTATTTCTACCTAAGGTCTCTGAGAACATGTAGTCCTTCTAGATTATTCTAGATGCTCATGTAGGGTGATTGAGGTTCAAATTCTCCAGCAGCAGACTCCCCATGCTGCTTCCAAAGGCTATCCAAGAAAAAATTTTCCAATGTTGACTTTACCCTAATTTTCCTTTTATCTGCACATACTTCTGGGTCTCCTCCCACACCCTTACCCATATCCACTGTGCTTGAGGGCATTGTCAAGCTTGGAACTTTCTACAAACAGATGCAAATGGAGTCGTCTTATTTAATACACATGGGGACTTTGTGTATTGTCTTCCCCCCTCCTCCCAAGCTCTCCATCCCATAACCTGGGCAAGGGTCATCCTAACAGTAGCATTCTCTGGAGTGCTGAGCGGGACAGAAAGATAGGAAATGGGGTGGAAAGTGGGTACAGGTGTCTGCTGTCAAGCTTGATGAGCTGAGTTCGGTCCCTGGGACCCACACGGGAAGGAGGGAACTGACTGAAGCTGTGCCCTCCATAAAATACGTGAATTAAAACGTAAAGAAATACCTCTAAGACAAGACAACTTACGGGGACATGGACAGGACAGAAGCCACTTCTCTGGAATCTGGGATGCAGAGGCTTCAAGACAAACAGTAAGCACAAGTGCCCATAGGGTTAGCGCTTGACAACAGGGCCAGTGCTGACCTTGAGGCAAGCACTTGTTGGCCCCAGGCTAACTGAATGGATGCTCCCCTCTCATCCCCAAATCTGAACAAAGCATCGCCTTACAATTCCATTTACAAAAGGAAGTCCTTTAAATAAGCGAGAGCTGGTCATGGCAGAGGCCGAGGCAGGCCGACCTCTGTGAGTTTGAGGTCAGTCTGTTCTTCACACTGAGGTCCAGGCCAGTCAGTGTTGCATAGTGAGAACATGCCCGCCCCGCCCCCCCCAATAAAACCTCAAAGCAAGGCCTGAAGCATGGCTCAGTGGTTAAGAATGAGTTCTGGTCTTTCAGGAGACCAGAGTTCAATTCTAAGCACTCATATCAGGCTGTAAATGTAACTCCAGGGAGCTGCCTCTCCGCTGGCCTTTACAGATAGATACATGCTTGTGTGTGTGTGTGTGTGTGTGTGTGCATGTGTGCATTTGTGAGTGTGTGTAGTAAGCTAGTGCCTATATTCATTTATTAAAAACACACATTTTTAAAAATACAGGGTCTCATGTATGTTCTGGCTCACCGGAACTTGCTATATAGACCAGGCTGGCCTCCATCTCACAGAGGTCCACTTGTCTCTGTTTTCTGAGTGGGGGCTTAAAGGCACGAATCACTATACTTGGCCAGATCCTACATTTTAACTTAAATTTTAAATTTTGCTTAAAACTTAGGCATCACTTTAACCACAGAATTATGTTGTGAAATTAGATCCTTGGAAAAACAGAACTTAGTTGCAGAGTCATATACATAGACATTCTGAAGACATCTAATTGCAGCTCTCGCTGCCCAGAAGCCCTCTTATCTTAGGTGTGTGGTGTTCTTTTCCCATGAGTCACTCTCTCTAAACATCCTGCCAAAGTGTGCACTCTCCTTATCTCTACTTAATAAACTCGTTCACTTTGCTGTAGTCTTACCTGTTTTGAAATTCTTTTCTGCAGCGTAGGCAGGGATCTGATTTGACTCTACTGGAGGTCCCTGAGCAGAAAACACTTCAGGCTGCCTGCGGCAATCCTGGGTTGGGCCACCCCATTTCTGCTGACAGTGTGACACCACGCAGAGAGAGCCTCGGACGCTCCGTTCCCGGAGTCCTGACTTACGGGAGTCCCAACAAGCTAGATGTGGCCAGTCACCCCCAAAATCAAGGGAAAAAAGTAGAGGTGAGTTGTAGTTGAGCAGATCAGCCGGGCTACACCGGGGAGGCAAGAGGGACTGGGTGGAGGGAGGGGACAAGAAGAGTCTGTGGCCAAGCTGCCACGCTCAAACCGAGGTCTGGCCTGGCTGATCCTTGTGTAGGCTCCGCTTATCCTGATGTTGCAGGGACAGTCACAGCAAGGCAGGGGAGATGCTGCCTCCAAGAGGGTTGTCTTCAGAGCCTCTTCACTTTGCACGTGTCTCCTGAGTCTGTAATGTAAGACACGTGCCACCATGCTCTGGCTACTTTCTTCTTAAAGGAAAATCCTATGGGGCTGGAAAATGGCTCAGAACCTAAGAGTGCTTGCTGCTTCCAGAAGACACAAGTTGGGTTCCCAGCACCCCAGGGGACCTGATCCCATCTCCTGGCCACACACACACACACACACAGAGAACACACATACGCACACGGAACACGTACGTACGCGCGCGCGCGCACACACACACACACACACACACACAGATAAATAAACCATCAATCTTTTTAAAAGTATTTTGTTTATTCACTAATGTGTATTTGTGCCAAACATGCATGTGGAGTCAGAGGACAACTCTTGGGAGTTGGTTTCCCTTCCACTGTGTGGGCTCTGGAGAGTGACCTCATGTAGTCAGGCTTGCTAGATCATCTCAACAGCCCACTTCCTTCCTTTTATTCAGCCCAGAACGGCATCCCATGCAATGATGCGGTCCACACAATGCGGGTCTTCTTACCTCAAATAACTCAGTGTAGAGACTCCATCACATACATGCCCAGAGAGCATCCCCAGATGATCTAGATCCATGCTGAGAGCGGATGTTAAGCATCACTTGGTGAAGCAGGGCTCCCTTCCCATCGTGGGGTTTTTGTCTTCACTTACGGGAGCAGCTTTATCGTGTGATCTGTCTGCATAGCCTCACTCCTGCACAGTTTAGTAACTGAGGATCCTCCAGCCTGAACTGGGGAATGCCGGGAGCTGGGAATCTGTCAGAGATACCTTAGCTACTCTTACCTTGTGGTCTTTAGCCTTGAAAGGGGAGGATTATTAGCTTTACACAAACAATTCTGGGACTGGAGAGACGGCTCAGTGGACCTGGGTTCAATGCCCAGCACCCACATGGCAGCTCACAAACGATCTTTAAATGATCGACATGTTTGTGCATGGAGCTGAGCAGAAATCTGACCCAAAGTTAAAGGCACACAGACACACAATGGAGGCAGGGGACTTATCTTGCTTTTGCTTGCCATTGGGCATCTGCTGGCTTTTCAGCAAACAGGGATTCTAAGCCCCTGTTAGAATATCAGTTGCAGTTAGACGGCGTTTCGTGTCTGTTATAAACTGGAATTTAGCTTCAGTCTAAGCTTGATGAGGGACATTGTGTTTCCCAGGAAATTCTCTTAACCACTGAGCCATCTCTTCAGCTACTTATTTTTAAAGACAGGGTCTTTTCAAGTGGCAATGGTGCATGTCTTTACTCATAGAACTCAGGAGGCAGAGGCAGGCGGATCTCTGTGAGTTTGAGACCAACCTGGTCCACAAGAGCAAATTCTAGGACAGGCTCTCAAAAAAACAAAAACAAACAAAAAACAAAACAAAACAAAAAACCCTCAACAACAAAAAACAGAAACCAAACCAACCAACCAAACGAAAGGCAGGCTCTCATAGAGCTCAGCTTGATCTGAAGACTGGCCCTGCTTTCCAGATTCTCACACCTTTGTCCTTCCAGGGTTGGTACCACAGGCATATGCACTTGGCTGGCCTTGAACTTTGGTCCTGCCTCAGCCTCCCAATTATCTGGAATCTGGGCCTGTGCCACCAGACCTGGCAATACTAGTTTTTAAAATAACTCCCAGGCAATCTAATCTCTGCACCTCCATGAAATGCGTCTCTCTAGAGAAGATACACTTGAGGAAAACAAACTGGGCATACATCCTTGAGGAACAGCAGGACCAGAATGTTCCGCACACAACTGGTTAGAAAACAGAGAACTTGACAATACTGATGTTTTCCTCCATCCCTCGGCGCCATGGCTGGGTCCCCACAACATTCACAGCACAGATCTGAGGACAGGTGTGACAAGAAGTTTGGCTGCCAGGCTCAGCTTGCTGCGGCTCCTTGGAAATCCACTCCTCACCCCCTTTCCACAGCAGGTGGCCCAGCCTGAGCTTCGATTTTCCCTGCCCCAATCAGAAGTTGGCATCAGGCAGTTGGATCAGCTAGCAAATTGCATGAGCTCTTTTTATTCTTCGTAGGGGGGGAGGCAGGGTTGTATTTGGCCTTTTGTTGGACTTTTCCAGGTAAAAGGATGGAGGAATTCTTTATTCTTGATTTTATTTATTTAGTTGTTTTTTTTTTTTTTTTTTTTTTTTTTTTTTTTGAGTCAGGGTTTCATATATAGCCCTGGCTGGCCTGGAACTCACTACAGCATAACCCAGTCTGGCCTCAGACTTACAGCACAATCTTCCTGGCTTCACCTCCGGAGAGCCAGGCTTACAGGTATGCACTGCAACACCGAAGTTGGAGGACTTCTTTCTTTCTCAGCTTGTGTGCACAGTTCCCACGAGGACAAGCCACAGTATCTGACACAGACTAATTTACGAACGAACATGGCTGAATAACCATGGCTGCGTGGGTTAGGGCTAGAGCCAAACAGACAGAGATGGGAAGTTGGAGGGTCTGGCTGTGTGTTTGTGAGGCAGGGCCACGCCTCAGCCTCCTGAGTGATGGGCACCCGATGCTCACTGGGGCTGCAAGGACTTTCCTCTTTCCTGTGTTTTCCGCTCCAAAGCTGAGTTCCCCCAAAGCAAGGGAAGCTGACGAAGCTTTGACCTCAAGTCTGACTGGTTGTTGTGAAATGTGAGCATAGTCAGCAGGAGACAAGGAAGATTCTTTTGGATTAGGGTAGAAGCACTAAACTCATACAAGGTCCAGATGACTGCCCAAAGGGTGTTATTGTGAAGTCAGTGAAGTGCTCAAATGTGCTTTTCTTTTAAATGGCAGGCAGACTAGTGCCATCTCAGTCCGCAGCCTTGGCTGGGCTGGAGCTAGCTCACTGTGTAGCGCAGACTAGTTTTGAATGGGAAGCAATCCCAAGTCGGTGCTCCCATGCCTGGCTCGAAGTTATGTCTCTGACAGCAATCAGGGACTGGGGAGGAGGGGGGAGCTTGCCTGGGAAACGGAGACCTTCGAGAGACCTGCTTTCAGTCCACTCATGCTGAGAACTTTGGAGCCCACTAATGAGTCAGCTGTTGTCTGTAGCCTGAGGAGTTGCCCCCTAGGGACTGTCACTCAGCTAGAGCCACATCCTTGCTTACACTGCAGAAAAGAATTCCAGGAGTCAGGGTTAGGGTGCTTAGTAAGGAGAGATAAGAGACATCACCTGCCTCAGATTTGAACCAAAACAGATGGGAGTGAGGTGGGGGGAAGAGGACATGCAGAGATGGGGGGGGCGAGAGAAGGAGAGAGAGAGGGAAAGGGAGACAGGAGAGATACAGAGACACTGAGAGAGACAGAGAGGGGAAGAGACGGGGGAGGGGGAGACAGTAAGATAGAGACAGAGAGACATAAACAGTGAAAAAGAAGCAGAGACAGAGACACCAGGAGAGAGAGACACAGAGAGACACAGAGAGAGAGGGAGGGAGGGAGAGAGAGGGAGAGAGAGAGAGGGAGGGAGGGAGGGAGAGAGAGGGAGGGAGAGAGAGGGAGGGAGAGAGAGAGGGAGGGAGAGAGACACAGAGAGACAGAGAGACAGAGAGAGAGAGGGAGGGAGGGAGAGAGAGGGAGGGAGGGAGAGAGAGGGAGGGAGAGAGACACAGAGAGACAGAGAGACACAGAGAGAGAGGGAGGGAGAGAGAGGGAGGGAGAGAGACACAGAGAGACAGAGAGAGAGAGGGAGGGAGAGAGAGGGAGGGAGAGAGAGAGAGGGAGGGAGAGAGACACAGAGAGACAGAGAGACACAGAGAGAGAGGGAGAGAGAGAGAGAGAGCTGTGGGCGCTCATGCCTTGGATGCCTTTGCCATAGCTATACACACATATGATCCAGTGGTTTGCAAAGTTAAAATTGCTCAGAAGATATCATTTACAACCAGGTTTAAAATTAAGTACAAGAAATACGAGCTGGTTTCTTTATTTCTCTTTTCTTAAAGAATTCCCTTTGTGTAAAGGAATTGTTAAGATGGTTTACACTGGTACAATTAATCAAGGCCACAAATAATCTGCCCCCCAAGTCTAGTTTGTTTTGTTTTTGAGACAGAATCTCCTTACGTAGCCCAGGCTAGCCTAGAACTCTTCTTGTAGACCAGGCTAGCCTTGAACTCCCAAACTGCCTACCTCAGCCTCCTGAGTGCTGGGATGAGTGTACACTGCCACACCCAGCCCCAGTTTTGGCTTTAACATCCTGTGTGAGGTATCTTTGGGAAAAGGAATTTCGTAGGCCATTTTGATTTTATCAGTTGTGAAGCTTTTGACTCTTAGCCAGCAAGAAATGTCACCATGTCCCAGGGTGCCTGGACTTCTTTCCAGGTGCGTGTCTCCTTCAGATTCTGCCTCTCTGTTTGTCTTTCTGGCAGGGTGTCTTGTACCCCAGCCTGGTTTCCCAGTTGCTGTGTAGCTGAGGACGACCTTCAGTTTTGGAACCGCGGTGGGATCCCAGGCTTGTGGCACTGAACCTGCCTTATGTGGTTCTGGGACGGAACCCAGGCTCGGTGCATGCTAGGCAAGCTCTCCACTAGCTGAGACTCCTCCCCAACCCAGGCTGGCTTCATAGTCATGTGACCCAGATCCTCTTGCCTCAGCCTACCTGCTCATTCTCCCTGGTTCAGACTTTCAGAATGCTGTGTGTGGGTAACACCTAGGACCTAATGACATCTGTCATTAACGGAGCAGCATTAGCAGCACCCGAAGGGAGAGGTCATTTCCTGGACACCTCTAACTCTTGAATAGGGATGTCTAATCTGTGGCTAAATTGATACAAGTTTCCGCCCTGCCCTGGGCCCTTCCTCCTCTTCTACCTCCCAGGAAGTGCACAGGATGGGGTCATGTGTATTTTGTTAAGTTCTCCCTGGGTCCTGGGCCAGGGGGGTGAGTAGAGTGTGAATAGTTTTCTCCAGTTCCTGCCTGGCCTAGGGTATTGACCTCACCCACTCTTGGGATGAACTTCCAAGGCTCTGGGAACCTGAGCCTCATCCTTCAAGGCAGCACTTTTCCTGTGGCCTTGCTTACTCTAGAGAACAATTCCTGGGGTTGTAGCCCATTTGCTAGAGCCCTCACCCAGCATGCATGAAAACCTGGGTTTGATCCCTAACTGGGTGTGGTGGTTCACACCAGTGTCCCCAGCACTTGGGATGTAAAGGCAGGAAAACCAGACATTTAAGACATCTTCAGTCTTCAGTTCATCTTAAGACATCTTCAGTTCAAGGCCAGCCTGGGATACATAAAATGCTGTCTTAAAGAACAGCAGCAGCAATAACTAAGCCTAAAAGAACCACTAGGGGGAAAATCTGTTTTAAACATGGTTCACGTGCTGCCACCTACTGGGAGAAAACCATGTTTCATCCTAATTATATAATAAGAGATTTATTTATTTATTTATTTATTTATTTATTTTTTAAGTAAGCCTCCACTCTTCCAAACTCTTTCCTGTTTTCCCCTCACATCAACCACTATTATGGGCCAGTGTTTCATTGCAACGATTAGGTTGCAATTTTCAACCAATGGGATTTTCTTCTGTAAGCTGGGCATGATGGCGCATGCCTGCAATTCTAGACTACTGGAGAACTAACATCAGATTCGCAGTGAGTTTGAGACTGGCCTAGACTACACGAAACCCCATCTCAAAAACAAAACAAGGGGCTAGAGAGGTGACTCGGCGGTGTCATGAGGACCAAATCCCAGCGCCCACAATAGGAGCTCACAAACACTCGCAACTCTATCTCACAGGGTCCTACACTGCTGGTCTACAGGCGCACGCACGCACGCACGCACACAACCAAACACAAATACTCTCACATGTGCACACACACACACAAAAAAAATCTTTACAGAGAAACAGCAACACAACAACAGATGGGTGTACAAACTTATAATCACAATACTTGGGAGGCAGAGGCAGGCATGTCTGTGAATTTAGGCCAATCCATCTATATAGCAAGTTCTAGGTCAGCCAGGGCTACACCCTGACTCAAAAACAGAACAAGAATAATAAACAACAATAAAACGGTCTCAGAAATCTTGAACTTTTTCAAGTATGTTCTGCAATTAAGCAAATAAGTAATTACATGCTGGATAACGGAATCAGAGCCCATGGAACAATAATACACCTGCCCTGTTAGACCAGAACCTAGGCATTGGTATGAACCAATGATTTTTACACACAGAAATGGTCAGACAGAGGCACTCCACAGCACAGGTTGTATTTAAGTCAATGGATGGAAATTTTGGAACAAAAATTCCAGAAAGTTCTAGATAGCATGACTTCAGGTTGTGAGGACTTATCTTAAACGAAACAAGACTTGGATTTGCTACTTGGTGAGCACTTAAAATGGAGGCGAATAAAGTGTAGGCACCCTGGGTGCCGCCTTCGGCCACTTCCAGCATCCTCAGTGTCTCTCAGGCTGCAAGCGCTGCCTGCCTGCCTTGGGTCTCACTGCTGCCTGTGTAGGAGGGCCTACTGTAGCTGTGTGTATCCTGAATAGGTGCAGGTAGTATTCTTCTCATCACTGACTCCTAAAAACATAACGTTCATGATGCCTGTTCACCACACCCACACAGTGCTCGAGGAGGCAGAAAGGGCTGTGACAGGCAAAGTTCTCCCACCTCATCTCAGGTGGAGCCATCTCTGGTTTACCCTGAAACTCACTCCCCTTTCTACCCTCGTGAAAAGCACCATAGGAAAACACCCAACCCATTCTAAAGACACCCCCAGATAACTGCTTGCTTTCAGCTCCTGTTTAACTGCCTAACTCCTATCTACCTGTCTGTCTATCTGTCTCTCATCCATCTATCTATCATCTGTCTATCTATCTATCATTTATCTATCTATCATGTATCTATCTATCATGCATCTATTATCTATCTATCTATCTGTCTATCTATCTATCTATCTATCTATCTATCTATCTATCTATCTATCTATCACCTACCTATCCAGTCCAGGTTGACTGGTTATGTAGCTAAGGATGAGTTAAACTTCTGAGAGCCAGGATTCCAAGGATGTCAATACACTGGTTTTATGTGGTTTGGTGCTGGGGATAGAACCCAGGACTTTGCATGCTAAGGAAGCACACCCAAGAGCCCTGATATCATCTTACATTAGGAGCTTGTAGCTATGGGGTATCCTGGAACGGGGCCCAAAAGATAGCCAGGTATGGCTCTATTCACCTCCTAGCTGAGTTCTCTTTGACAGACACTGGTAACAGTCTTTCTCTGCCCTGCTAGCTCACAAATAACAACAGGGAGACCCATTACTATGAAAGCTTGGCCTTACTTAGGCTTGGCCCACTAGCACTGATAAGATAACCTGCTTTTGTTAATCTATCTTTTACCGTGTGGCTCTTTACCTTCCTTTCCTTCTGTGTGTCCAGTTCCTTCCATGTCTCCTTAGCTTCTCCTCTGTGCCCATTTCCCCTCTCTGCCTACAAGTACCGCCTGTACCTCCTGCTTAGCGATTGGCTGTTCAGCTCTTTCTTTAGTAAACCAATCACAGCAATCATACAGTGTACAAATATCCCACAACAGACACTAGAACTACAGATATCTTAGTACTATGAGACTTTTCTTTTTTTGAGACACGATCTCATGTGGCTTAAGATGACCTTGAACTCACTAACCAAGGATGACCCTGAACTTCGACCCACTGCCTCTACACCGCAAGTGCTACGTTTATAGTTGTGTGCCCCTACTGCAATTTTGTGTAATCTGAGGTTTTACGCACACGAGGCAAGCACTCTGACAACTGAGCCACATCCCTGATGAGATATGTTTTTAAATTTATTTGTATGTTCACACATGCATGAATGTACCACAGTTCACACAGGGAGGTCAGAAGGACACAACTCCTGGGAGTTGCTGGGCCTGGAGATGGAACTCAGGCTTGTTGGCAAGTGCCTTGATGAGCAACCTTGCCAGTCCCCCAGTGAGAACTTCATCTCAAATATCATTCTGTTTTATTTTTTTAGACACAGGATCTCACACCAGTTGGTCATCACACGCTATTGCTGGTCGAGTCTGGGAGAATCGGAATAATACACAATGGTTAAGAATCAGACCAACATCGGTTTCTCCACGTTGAAATAAGCAAACAGTTAAATAAATAAGCCGTCAAGGGAAGAAGGGCACTTTCTCCTCCACTTGGGGGAGAAGGGGGGAAGGAATGCTGTAAATAGGAAAGGCAGGCTTTGGCTGACTTCACAGTAGTAAGGGTAGAGGATGATGTATGAAAGCTAAAGGTAGTGGTAGGATATGACAGACAAAAGACATCGCATTTTCTCAGATGTCTCTTCACACGGCATGTTGATTTCAAAGGAGAATGGAGTGACTTTGCTTGTAACCAATCCATTGGGCGCCACCTAATCCAAGTGATCATCTTACTGTCATCAGGAACAGAGGCAACAGCCTCCTGCCCCCCTGCGGGAGTGACTGAGGACACAATGTCTCCTCAGTGGCGTTCTTGACCAACACACAGACCCACAATCTAATCATGAAACATACCAGACACACCCAATGTGAGGAACGTTCTGCAAAGTAACCGGCCACTGATCTTCAAAAATGTCACAGTCATGAAGGACAAAGAATGAGGAAGCTGTCTCAGATCACAGGAGACCATGGACACAGGCCAGCTCAATACAGGGTCTCGGGTTGGAAAAAGAACACCAGCAAAACAATTGGCAAACGTTAGCTAATGTCTGGAGATAAGTTAACACTATTATACTTCTGTTCCGTACTCTGGTTTTGCTGATTGAGCTGTAGCTATGTAAGATGTCAACACTGAGGGCTGGAGCTTAGGGATAGAGCCTGGCTCTCCCAATGCTCTAGGTTCAACCGTAGCACAAGGAGAAAGCAAAGGTTAGCATTTGGGAAAGCTGAAGTCCTGGGACCAGCACTTTCCCTGTGAGCTACATCCTCAGCCCACGAGCTGTCGCTTTTTTTTTTTTTTAAAGCTTGTTTCTTTTCATTTATTTGTATGTATATGAGTGCTTTGTTTGCATATGTTGGGGTACCATGTGTGCCCACTGCCCTCAGATCCCCCAGAACTGAAGTTCAGATGATTGTGAGCCATTGCGTGGGTGCTGGGAATGGAACTCGGGTTCTCCGGAAGAGCAGCCAGTGCTCTTAACCACTGTGCCACCTCTCCAGTCCCACGTGTGATGTCTTCAATGCTTGAAGTGATTGGAAAAAAAAAAAAGGCACACATATATGCTTTCTAGAAGGCAGTACATGGGGCTGAGGTGTAGCTCAATTGGTAAAGTTTTGCCTAGCATTCAGGAGGCCACAGGAGCAAGGAGTTCGGAAAACTGGGTGTGGTGGTCCAGGCCTGAGATGCAAGTACTTAGGAGGTGCGGGAGGAGGGACCAGAGGCCTAAGGTCGTCCTCAGCTACACAGAGATACTTGAGACTCTCAAACAAAACAAAACCCACAGCAGGATAGTGTGTGTGTGTGTGTGTGTGTGTGTGTGTGTGTGTGTGTGTGTGTGTTGGAGGGGGGTAATTACAAAGTGAGCTAGGTTTTGATTGCTAGCTTCTGACCCCTTCAACATTAGCCAGTTTCTAGTCTTCATTCCCTTCTAGCAAATGGAAGGCTTCTGATGTTGACACTACACACCAAGTAGGTCAGATAGCAAAGGCTCATAAGATGTTTGAACTGAGAAGCAGAACATACATTAAATGGATTAAGCCTGTCTCAGCCCTGAAGTTTGTGGTCGCAGCTTCTGGATGCTATTTCTACATTTCTGAGTGCTCTCCAGCATGGTCCTGAGTGCTGCAGGCCTGGACACTTCCTGCTTTTACAGACTGATCCCAGAGTGTTGTAGTCCCCGAGACTGTCAGAATAGGTCTAGGTCAGGAAGATGCCATGGCAGCTAACTGCGGCCCCATGCTTTGGTGGCTAACCAGCTCTTTTAGACAGATTGACTTGCTCAGGATCTCCCCAGCTTCTAAGCCCTGCTACTGGAGTTGGGACACAGGCTCTGAAGAGAGAGCTGCTCCCAGAGCCTGGGTCCAGATGAACAGGAATCAGAACATGGGTGCTGGGCTGAGCTGGGGCACCTAGTGCAGAGCTGGCTAGGACCACCCTGTTCTCCATCTCTGCCCTCTCTATCTCTGTGTCTCTGTCATCTTTCTCTGTCTCTCTCTTGTGGGGTTTGGACCCCTAGCCTGGCACATGCTAGGCAAGTATTCGATCACCGGTCTTCATGTCCAGCCTTACTCCCCACTTTGAGTTTAGTACAAATCTTCACTGAAACCTAGAACAGACTGGTGGATCTGGAGGCCATTCTGGCCCTAGATTTCCTTTCCAGAGCTGCAGATGTCCCTGGAGGGGGCTGGCGCCATTGCTCACCTAAGCAATTATTTTTTCAGTTGAAGGTTCTTCTCCCCTCCCTCCCTCTCTCCCTCCCTCCCTCCCTTCCTCCCTCCCTCCCTCCCTTTGACTGGGTCTCATGTATCCCTTACTAAGTAGCAGAGGCTGACCTTGAACTTCTGGTCTTCCTACCTCCACTTCCTGAGTGCTAAGATTGTAGACTTGCACTGGGCGTTGGTGGTGCACGCCTTTAATCCCAGAACTAGGGAGGCAGAGGCAGGCAGATCTCTGTGAGTTCGAGGCCAGTCTGGTGTACAGAGAGAGTTCCAGCACAGGCTCCAAAGCAATACAGAAATACGCTGTCTTGAAAAGTTAAAAAAAAAAAAAAAAAGATTGTATGTTTGTACCCCCATGCTCAGCCTACCTGAGCTTCCAACTTACGATATTTCCCCCTTCCAGACATAAGCAATCCTCATCCCTGGGGTGTCTGAGGCCCCCTTTGCTGCCGTGGAGCATACCACTTAACCCCTGAGAGGGAGCATGTTCTAAGAAAGAATGGACCTCAACAACAACGTCTGAGTTTTTTTCCACCTCCTCTGCCCTCTGAGAAGTGTGCAGGACAGGCACACGGAATCCCTGAACTGAACCCTGAATCCTGAAGGAGAGATGGAAGCAAATGATTTCTTTCTGGGGTCTCTGCGTTCGTCTCCTCAGACAAAGGCAGAAGGAAGCCAGGCCCATTCCTGGAGGACTTGAAGGTGTGTGCTCTTGGCTGAGGCTCTAGGGAGGGATTGTCTCTGCTCTGTCTGCAATTAGGGCTGAGTCAGAGGTGGACATGCCATGTGTTAAAATAAGAGCGGGTGTTTCTGAGAAGGGAAGTCCCAGAGCCGGCCAGGCCGGGATTAGCTGTTGATAAGGGGCCTGGCATTGTTCTAGCTGTCCCCTGAGGCCCACACCACATCCTAGAAGAGAAGCCAGGTCCCTTGGCTGGGACAGTTGTGGGCAGAGTTGCAGGGGCTATCCTGGAGGCCATCTGTGACTGTGGCTGTCAGGAGAGCAGCACAATGGCCCAGCACAGGACTTATCCCTGATGCAACTTTGCTATTACAGCCCGGGGCCTGTCTTGTTGTGCAGCCCATTCTCACTCCTAGAAAAGACAACAGAGGAGACCCCTGAAGGCAACCAGGCAATCCAAAACCCTGTGTGAATCCAGCAAAGTGGGCCAGCCACGTCCTTAACCCCAAGGTCAAAGCAGGAGGCGAGGAATGGGGAGGGAGAGGTAGGGCCTCTCCAGTTTAGACTCTTCAGCTTTAAAAAGCAGAGGCTGATGGGAGTGTGAGGAAACCACTGTTTACTTGGCTCTCACGAGTGCTCCACTCAAACATGTCCTAGGACACTTTTGGGCTGAGGATGGGGGTGGGGGGGGACATGCTGAGGTGGCAACTGGAGATGGGGTGAGAACTCTGTGGGGAGGAGGCCAGCCCTCCACTTCCCCGAGGACGCAGGTGTCAGCCACTCTAAGGTTCAGTGGGAGCTGGACCAGAAGGAAGGCAGACGGTCCTAGTGGAACCGCAAACATTCAGTAGCCAACCAAGAAGGTGTCTGTGAGGGGGCAATGGGCATCAAGGTTGGATGTGGCAGATGACCACCCATGGTGGCCTAGTGATAGAAAGACACGGGGAGGGATTCGTGGAACCAGGGGTCAAGGTTTTGAACCCAGCTCCTGGCGGAATATTCTTGGAAATAAGGTTGCCCATTTTGATCATTCCTGTCCATGACTCAATCCTTCCTTCTCCACATGGCCACAGCAGGCTGCTCATGACCTTCTGGAAACAGAACACGCTTGCTGCTGCTCAGAGAGCCTGGGTCACAGCCCTAGATTCTAGGAAGTATACAGGACTGGTCCTGAGTGCCACAGGCCCACGGGGACAAGGGACCCTCCCACCCCCCTCAGCAGGAGGGAGGAAGAAGTTCTTACAGACCAAAGAAGCAAAAACAGGAGATGGGGAGTGAGGGTGGGGTGGAGCAGAGCCCCGGGAGAGCTGGGAAAGAAGAGCTACAGACTCAGGACAGAGCATACCCACATCCATGTCCTTTACAAGTGATCTGAACTCGTGGCTGGGGAGATGGCTCTGGGGCTAAGAGCACAGGCTGCTTTTACAGGGGACCCAGGTTTGATTCTCAGCCCCTGCCCTCATGACCCGTCCAAAACTACAGTTCCAGATCTAATGCCCTCTTCTGGCAGCCTTGGGTACTGCAAGCATGAGATGCACAGACATTCGTGCAGGCAAAACACTCATACACATAAAAGAAATAAATCTTTAAAAAAAACAAAACGCAAATGGTTGGACTTTATAAGTTAGACTCTCCAGCTAGGTGTGGTGACAAATGTCTGTAACCCCAGCACTTGGGAGGTGGGGGGCAGGAGGATCAGGGTTTAAGGTCATTCTTGGCTACATACCAAGTTTGAGGTCAGGCTACATGAGATGCTGACTCAAAAACAAACAAAACAAAAGCTCATAACAGGAAAAAAAATAAGTAGAATTTCCATGAAGATACTGTAATCTGTTTTCCGCCAACTAATACAGGAAAATGTCTGATTTCTTGGGGGGGCATTTTAAAGATTTTATTTATTCCCCCATTTTTATGTATTATGTGTGTGTGGGTGCAATGCATGTGGTTTGCTTGTGTATGTATGTGGAGAGCTGAGTCTGATGCTGGGGCTCATCTTCCACTGGCCTGGCTCGCTTTATGCCAGCTGGGGTTGTTTGGGAAGAGGGAACCTCAGTTGGGAAAATACCCTCATAGAGCCTTGGAGCATCTTCTTGATTGATGATTGGTTTGGGAGGGTCCAGCTCGTTGGGGGCGGTGCCAGCTCTTGGCAGGTAATCCTGGACACTGTAAAACAGCAGGCTGACGAGTCCGAGGAGCAAGCTAGTGAGCAGTGTTCCTCCTCCGATGACGACATCTCCATCAGTTCCTGCCGCGAGGTCTTGCCCCCCCCCCCATGGTGAGCTATAACTGGGGTGTGTAAGTTGAAACAAACCCTTTCTTCCCCAAGTTACATTGATCATGGTGTCTCATCACAGCTATGGGAACCCTGACTAAGACATCCAACTATCCCATGAGACAGTTGCTCAGTCTGACCCAGGACCTGGAGCTATGATGTGTCTCATTATTAGCCAGATTTGTCCTGGGGGGTCCCCTGCCTGCCTTTGAGGCTGGAATTATAGGCATGCTGCCACAACCACTCAGTATTTACATGTGTTCTGGGAACCCATACCCTGGTCCTCAGGTTAATGCCGCATTTCTGTCCCAGGAGCCACCAGGCCTCAGGAGCATAGCTGGATTCTACCTCCGCTAAGCATCCAGGAGATAAAAATAGAGGCAATGCTCTCACACCCACAACAGTCATGGGTTTCTGG